TATTAAAATAGATGATATAATTTCTGATTGCTTCAGTTTGTTTTCAGTCATTTTAAGCCGGATGAATTTGAGTGGTTGAAAAGTATCAAAAATTTTGTTACATAATATGAATACTTCTAATTTGAAATAAATATTATATCATGTCGTTTCGCATCTCATGCTCCCGCATTCATGCCATGGGTATCAAAAATACTGTATGTTTGCAATCATGCGATTCTCTATTTAATTTACACACATTCACATACACACAAACGTTATACTATAGTATAGAATATTTTGCCTTTGAATAGAAATAACTTGCAAAGATTTGGGTCTCACGTTATGTGTAGCGGGAATTAGTTCGTACGGTACGCTTAGCTCATTGAGTCTAAGTTTATATTTATGGTTTTCTTTTATTTCTTCAATTTCTTGAATGCTTCTGTTAAAGGTAGACAATACTTTATATGGTGCAGATGTTTACCGATGAAAGTTCATTGTGGCATACAAATGTTCCCCATATGAAAATCATTGTCGAGAATGAAGATACAAATTACAATCACACTCGCTTTGAAGATATGATATGAATTTGAAATGCACATAATTTTATTATTTGTGTCGGTTTTATTCAAATCAAATGAAAATAGATTAGATATTTAAGACAAAACGAATGAATTTGATGCGGGACACTTGATTCCATAATTTCCGACAACCAAATCATGTTAGATGACGAATAAAAATTATTCGGTCACACTAACGGATAGAACAGTTTGATTGTATGCCATATTCGACCCATTATTGACGGTTGTAAAATATTTATTGATCAAAGACTTTAATTGTGTCACACAAAGTTAATCATAAAGTTTTAAAAAAAACCGTAATCGATTTCGACTGAGCGAATAAACGATGGATTAACATTTATTCCATTGTCTTCATTCAAATTTAATGCGTTAAATGAATCGATTCGTCACAGTGAAAAACACAGTGAAACAAGAAAAAAACACGAAGTCATACCAATCGAATGTGAAAAATGGTATTTTGTATTTGAGGCTGATTAACTAAATTTAATCGATCATTTTATACAAAATTATCACACAGCACTGAGAAATGATGGCAAAACACTGTCAAAAAAACCGTATTCAATCGACGACAACGATCTCGCGCAAATCATTTCAAAATGTGAAGAATATTTCACTTCAATTCAATTAAAAAATATGTTTATGCGCGTGATTTAATTTAATATCAACAATAAACGGATGCTACAAACCAAAAAGGAAAAAATGAATCGGAAATGGACAGCTGTTAAACAAAAAGGAATCACGAATTTTATGTTCATTTTCAATGGTCGCCGATACGTGGTGTACAATTTTATATAATGTCTTATTATTCATATCATCTGACGCGTGGTTGTACATTTTCTCTTGTTACAAGTAAATCAATTCGACAGTATAACACGAACGAAAAAATGGCCATATTGTGCGGTGATACACACAACAAGAACCAACCAGTTGGCATTTTCATTTTATTGCATAAATATCACGATTCTTTTTTCACGTTGTCATTGAATTTTGCACGCATTTTGATTGTAAGTTTCTTGTCACAATAAACATAAAACGCCGTTGACTCTATTTCTTGCACTGCCATTTGTTTTAAATATATTTTGATACTGTTGATGACCCAATGGAGAATGAATCTTATATCAAAATTATATCGATTCGTTGAAACACTCGTAATACATTGTCGCTGGCGACTATTCGGGCGTTTGTTCTCGTTTTTTCAAACCAAACGAAATCAATAACGGAGGTGTAAAAAGTGGCATTGAGTGATTTCATTCGACGAGAAAATTGAAACTAACGATTCGATCGTATTTATTTCCGTAATGAATGTCCAAAATGGATTTTTAAAAAAGGTTCAATCAATTGATTTATTTTCAACATTTTACGTAATTTGATCAGAATCAACCATTTATGATCATCTCATTTCAATTTTTTCGTTGATGAATTTTATGCATTTCGATTAAAAGATTTTTTTTTTTGATAAAAAGTATAAGACTGTTATTCCGAATGCATTAATCTTTTTCTAGTTTTGTATATATGACCCATATACACAGAAAATTGCGATCATGTGCGCACATTTATTTTCGGTTCATATTACTGTACATTAATCGATTTATTGATTCAATCAGATTAATATTCAGCGGATCGAGCTCATTTTATACATATATATATATGTATGTATCTTTTTTTCAAATTGTAAAATAATTTGATCGAGTTGTTAATTTTTTGTTGTCGCTTGCCACGAAATGAAACGTTAGGATAATGTATATATTATAAAAAAATGGTTGATATTGAACTTTAGGATATAACTGTCTCGCTTCACTATAAATAAATTAAAAAAGTCTGTGACCATAAACTATTATTACGGGCTGTGGTGTGAGAGAGAAAAAAAGAGTTCACAGGCCTGAGAAGCAGCGAAAGAAGAAGAAGAAGAAGAAAAAATAGTCATGAGGCAGCCAAGATACAAGAAAATGACATAAAATGTGATATTGATGGTGGTTAAACGTAGGCAAACTCGTTTGCTGCTCTCTCGCTAAGTTGGCTATTGGCAACATTCGCATGTACACCAATTATTATATTTACTTTTGTTCTCTCTTTTGCTTGGCCAGACATTCAGCGACGTTTCGCGACTTTTTCCTTTATTTCTTCATCTTGTCTTTTTCCTCGTCGATTTGTTTTCTCTCTCTCAGACTTTGTCTCCTTCAGCATTTGTTATCGCACTGTAACTCTTGCACATTTTGTGCTGCACCATTACGCCATGTCTGTGATGTGTATGTACAGTATACCATTGCATTGAGACTGTCTTGTGCACTACGTTGAATCTTTTTTTGTTTCTTCTGTCGATCTCTTATGAGACTTTCCTTTTCTCATTTTACATCACGATTACGTATGACCTTAACGTTGAAATTGCTATGAGCTACCGTATCAATATTCCACCAATCGTGCATAGAACTGTAGCTGCATTCAAATGATCACTCCTTTGAAAATATGAACAAGAGATGAGCATTTTCTTTTTATTTTACAATGAGAAAATATTTTTTTTTTGATTGAAACAAAAAAGAAAAATCAAACTGAACCATAATCGAGAGGGAACAATGCCAAATTAAAACGGAAGAAATCGACAATGAATCGTTTGTTTTCCAACTGTTTTAAAGTAAAAAGCAAATAGTGACAAGGAGAAGAGATAATAACTTAAGAGATTATCATCGGAGCTTTTTATTTTTCCTTGTGTGTGTGTGCGGCTATGCTACAAAAATTATTGCTCGCTAATCGAATCGCACAATAGAATTCACGGAAAGTAGCTCCGCATGAATATACAGAGATATAGAAAAATAAAGTCTGTGCTAAACAGAATATACATAAAATAAAGCCCCTTTTCCAATTGTGAACGCGCAAAATATTCTGTTATCCAAATGGAACAATCATAAAAGAAAGGAAAATCTTTACTTTCCGCATTGGTTTCTATCTTCTTTTTTTTTTGTCCGTTCAACGTTAAAAGAATGGGCATTTTCGGATTTTCATTCTTTTTTATTCTTTGAAGATACATACGCGAATGAGAGCGCATACCGCGAGCGCAATTCACACAACAATAGACGGTGGGTCTTTTGATTGTCGGCTGGTTAGTTGAGGCTGGGATTTCAATTTGTAATATTTATTCGTTTTTGTTTTCGAGTGTTCTTTATTTTTATTCCTTACTGGTATGAGCGTTTTTTTTTGTTACTTCAGTCCCGCATTTCGCATTTTATGATGACAACAACAAAAAAAAAATTGATAAGAATACACATATACATAAACACAAAAGTCACCATTCAAAAAACGAAATCACTGCGATAGAACGCATTAATCACGTAAAATAAGCTTAATGGAATGTTAAAAAAAATCGTTCGTAAATGCGTCAATTTTCGTTTTATTGATGACCGGTCGCATTCACTTCTTGCGGTTTTGGTGAATTTATTCGATGAGTACGAGTGTTTTTTCTTGTATGTCCCGTTTCACATTCTATATCACTTTGTAACAATATCAAACACAAAAACTGGCAGACTTGTCTTTTGGTCTCTAATGTTAAAGCGAATGAATGATTTCTTTTGATTTTTCACACAAAACTTATTGACTGTGTTCAGAATGAAAGTGATGAGCGAGAGAGATGGGCAAAAAGTGCATAAAATTGACATTAGACTGCTCAAACAATGGTTGCCTTTTTGTTTATTACTACTTAACGATTGTTATTCGCATTTTATTCTGTCGGAACAATTTCATGGGCTTCTCTCTCTCTCTTTCTATAACTGAACTGTTGTTATTATGAGAAATTCGCTCTTTATTCCTCACACTTTCATAGTCTTTTCATACCGTCTGATTTTAAATCATGTCTGAAGTTTGGTAGTTTTATTTTTGGTATATTTTCTTTTCAAATTGTGTTTGTGAATATATTTTGATACACAAAATGGAAAGCGAAATATTCTTTCGAAGCGCGCACGATTATTTCGCTCTTTTTCCTTATTTTTTTTTTTTTAATATATAAACTCATTCACTGTTGTTTCCTTTACCAATGAACAAAAACACATAACATGCACAACAATTGAACACATTCACTGACTTGCATACACAGACATATATAAATTTACCCCGATTCAAAGTTTGTTGCTCTGTTTATAATTTCGTTTAATTGTCGTACAATTCAATATATTGAATATGACGTCTTTTAAAAACTGAACTTTTTCAAACTTGCTTTGACACTTTTACTGTTCTTCGTTACGACAAATAAAAAATAAAATGTTCTCGCATCGTAACCGAGCACATAATAACATACACGTCGTCAAAAAAGTATCAAACGACAAAAAATTCCAATGAATATTTTTGGTTTGTTGTATGTTTCCAAATAAGGTAAACAATATTCTACATAATTCGATTTTAAGTTAAATACTGTTTCTTTTAAATTGTTTATATTTTCATCGTAAATTTATGCCGTACCTGATCGACGACGCATCACCTGCGAACTCTGAAACAACACTAGTGTCAACAGTCTTCAGTTCGGTATATTTTGATTCAGTTGTTGTCGCGAGCGTTGTTATGGATGCTTGCGTTGTCTTGTTGCCGTTGCTATTGCTATCTGTTCGCGTGGTGGTGCCAACATTGTTGCCGTTTCCATCATCGTGCTGCAGCTTCGGCGACTGGTTCGTTGATGGAGCAATTGTAGTTGATTTGACTGTACACACTGATGTATACGTATTGTCTGTCGTTTCTTGTTTATTATCATCTGTGGAGCTTGACTGTGACGCTGTTGATGATGATGATGGCGCTATTGTTGGATTCGCAACCGATACGACAGTAGAAACGGTAATAGCATCTGTATTTTGCGTACCGCTTGCGTTTGCATTTTGACCATGCTCCAACAAAGATGCTGTTGATGTTGTTGCTTTGTTCAATAGCATTTTGTTCTGGTGCGGTGAAACAAGAGAGAAAGAAAGAGAAAAAGGCGCATAATTCGAAATTATCAGTGAGAATTTATATTACAAACATTTCAGAATGAATATATATAGGTTTTGGTATGCAATTGAATTGTATGCTTGTTGTTTTCTGATCTTATTCCAGTCATTTATAAAATAAAAAAATCTCAACAATTTTACGATTATTTTTTTCCGAATTCAGTGGCATTATTAACGAAGCAAAGCAAAACAGAAGGCAACAAATAAACAAAATGAAATCGAATGGAAAAACTTATGAGAAAAAGGCAATTTTAATTAAAATCCATCATTATAGCCAATTGATTTCTGTCGAACAATAAAAAAAAGCGATAACACAATGGCTGCAAGCATTCGATGGAATTGCATATTTCGTTGGAATAAAATAGCCAAACATACCAATGAAAACACTCACTTGAAATGGATATGAAATTTTAAATTGCTTGATGGAAATGATAGAAATATGTTGTTTTTTCATCGATTTTTTTTTTGGGTGGAATCGTCATAAAAGGAATTAAATGTAATAGTGCGTAAAACTTTTTAATTTCCGTCAATAAAAAGTTTGTTATGCATTGAATCACAATAGATTTTTTCCATTGATATAAAAGAGAGTGAGAAGAAAGTTCGAAATTTTCACTTCTCAGTCAACCGAATGGTACATAATACCAATAAAATTCGGTGTAGTTTTACTTTATTTGAAAATGGCGTTTTAAAGAAAAACTGAGCAACCACTGAAATATCGACAAAAAGTCCCATCAAATTATGATTTATTTACGAAGATCTGCAGTATGCTGAACAATTTTAATGGTAATCGATGACACATGCCTGCTTGAGAGTCACGCAAAATCTATGCCATATTGCTATTAATTAATTGTAACTGAAATTGATTCGGTTGGCATGGATGCACGGCTATTTTATAGTATTGTTTTATTAAATAACTTACTACATGTTACCTATCATGATCGAGCATAAAAGTATGGTTAATGCGTTGTCTTTTTTTCGGTGGTATTCAAACCATTATGTTGGCTATTCATTTATTTACATTTTTTTCTGATTTTTTCTCATGATTTCTCGAGATTTTTTTATTTAAAAAAATGAGCAGCATTTTTAATTGCAATAACAAAATGTACACAATGTTTTTGTGTTTTATTTTTGCGTCGGCATATGCGGTACATTCCAATGTTTCTGAAAACATTCAGTTCTGACATGCTACACATTCCAATTATTGGACTTTCAACCGACATTGGCTGAATTGTACATTATTTAATAAAAATCATTGTTTTCCGAAAAAAAATCAATGAAATATTAAAGCGTGAATTAATATATAGCGTTTGCATGTTAGAGAAAGCCACATTCGTGTTTGAAATCATTATATTTTTCACCCCCAAGGATATATATACAAATACATACATTTTTTTTTCTTTGATCTCAATTTTTTTCCAACTTACCGATTGATTTGAATCCACTTTTTCGTTGGAGATGACATTTTCCCGTTCGAATACGTCATCGTTCAACTGATCGTCATCATTGTTTTTATTGTCAGGATTGCTTTTCAGATTTTGAGTTTTAGTACCTAATTACATGAATTTCACATTAAATTGTTATTTATTATGTCAAGTCTTAAGAAGAAAGTGAAAAAAAGAAAATTCATTTTTTTTCTACTTAAAACATCATGGCTTACCCATTGATGGTGTAGTTTTGTTGCCATTGTTATCTGATTTAGTGCTGCTGCTGCTATTTTTTGCCGATGACGATGTCGACATCGATTTTTTCGATGAGTCTTCCAAAGGATCTTTTACTTTGGTTGTAGTGGAGGTGGTGGTAGTGGTTGTCGTCGATTTGGTTGTGTTGGCATTTGAAGTTTTTTGCTTTGTAACGCTGCCATAATCTGCGGGAGGGCAAATCGTATCTCTGCCTCCAACGTTAATGGTGTGCAATTGATTATTTGCATTTGTAGCGGCTTGAAAGCTGCAAGTCTTTTTCACATTACTCAAATGTTTCATAAAATCTTCGGCATAGCGATTTGCTTTAATGTCAATGTTTTGCATGTCATCATTATAATTCGAAATCTGACTGTTGTTCGACATACGTGCGCTACTTTTTCGACTAAAGTTGCCATCATCAAAGTCCGATGAAAAGTAACTTGATGAACAATCACAATTTCGACATTCATAACGGCAATTATCGGAGAAGCTACATTTTTCACCATCGGCACACGGTTGACAATCGTAACCGAATTGACAACTCTCCGCACTTCCGTAATATCGTCGTTGTGCCGGATACGAAAACATTGAATCTCCCATACTTGAATCACTCATTTCAGCTTGTTTATAGTAGCGATTATTGGAATTCTCACTCTTGACAGACATTTCACTTAAAATGGATGCCTTTGAATCGGTTTTATAAATTTGTGGCCGCAATTGTTGAGCATAAATTTGCTCATTGTTCAAATCATAAAAGTTGCTTTTAATTGAGGGTTTCGTATACTTTTGATGATGATGCAACGAATCACTCGATGACGATGATATCTTTTGTGCAATTGTTTTGTGCATCGGTGCATATTTCTGTAATCGATAAATTTCCTCAATTGGATTGTAATCACTGGTGAATGCAACTGGTGTTGTTTCAATTTTAAAAACGCCTGGATTCTTTGGATTATATGATTGATATTGTAGGACATTGGGAGTGGCCGTTTGAATAATATTGCTAATACTTTCATGTGAATCGGACGAACGAAGTTTGTCGTGGTCGCCAATGCTTCGATTTTCATCGAGCGGTGTTTTTAATTTACCACTCGCCATTGCCACTCCCGACGATGTTGAATTTCGACCATTCATCGATTCTTTTCTTTGTTCACTAGCCTTACAAATGTCACAATTTTTATTCGTACACTCTGCAATGCACAGCTCACAATCCGGATAATTGATCAAATTTTTCGCTTTGTTTAGCTTTTGTGGTTGCTTTTTATCGGTGTAAAAAATCTCTTCATAAATATTCTCCTCGCTTTTTGAAATCGTTTGATTGTTGACGGACGCCGAACGAAATTTGGCCGTTGATTTTTTCGTTGATTTTAGACTTTCCTTCAACAAATAGTAATTAAAGCTTTTTATGCCAATTTCACCGCGCAAAAATCGCTTTCCGATTTGAAATTTACTCATTTCCTTGGTCTTTTGATGTTGATCTAATTGTTCAAATGAATGTGCTTCGCTGCGAGCCAACGATGAATACTTTCGATCATTCAATGATAACATTGATGATAATTGTTTTGGACGCTCTTTCATACGTGACAAACGCTGTGTGTCATTCAAAAATGGTTCGTCGTCGTAGAAATCGCTTGCAAATTCATTGATTGAGCGTGGACTTTTCATCAGTAAATTCTCTTTGCTAAATGCCTTGCGGTAATAAATTTTATCGAATCCACGACGATTTTGTGACTCTTTTTCACGCTGAAAGCATAGCATTTTCTTTTGTTGTTTGTAAATGTTGCGGTCGAGACTTTGGCCACGACGCACATAATTCGATTCATCCGAACTGGTTGAATCTTCGGAGCGAAAATTTTTCGCATATTTATCGTTGAGTGGTATTTTTTGTTTTGCATCATATTTAAAGGTTTGGTTGGATTGCTTTTTTCGTGGTAAAATGTGCATTGTATTGTATTTTTCGGTATCACGATCAAATATTTTCGCATCCAAAAGCGAACAGGATTTACGTCGAGCCGAATCTGGACCACTGTTACGACGCATTGGTAATGCCAAATGACGAACATCCGCTGTATATGCTGGATCATCGGCGTACCTTGGCTGAGCCGTTAGATCTTTTAGCTAGAATAGAAAATCGATACCAAAAAAAAAACAATTTAAAAAGAACAATCGAGGGGATAAAAAAAAGCGGCCCAGCTTCAATGTAGAATATTATGTAGATAGGATATATGGAATGACTAAAACGTATCTGTGTGACAGTACTATACACATAAGGTGTAAGGCTCAAGGCTTCTGATTACATTTCAATACAAAAAAAATTGTGTACACATTGATCAATGCATACATTGGATTGTTGGTTCCAAACGCTTTGATAGACAATTTCAAATGACATTGATTCTGCACATAGAGAAAGAACAAAAGCACGAACGATAGAATGGCGATGTAAAGCGTATTTGCATTCAATGCTTTGGCTGTTCTGTCAATCAATTAAGATAATTGTTGGACTTGATATCTATTTTAAATGACATTTGGCATTGGTGGTGAGCTTGGTCTTTTTTTGTAATGCTCCATACCGAAATTAATGTAAATGGAAAATGTTCCGTGAATGTCCACGGGACAATTAAATTTACTACTAGTAAACGGGTACAAGTTTTTAATCTCATTCACCGCGGAAAATTAGGAAACAGTGGAAAAAAAATATGTAATCACTTATTTTGAAAATGTACAAAGAAAGATTATTGCTATTGTAAGAACCTCTTGTGCAAAACACAATACAAAATAAGTATACTCTGGTATGTATTACAAGGGAACGGGTGTTGCTTATGCATCTATCTAAAGTCCTTACACACTGTACTGTCCGCGTGTGTGTTGTTTTCTTTTTATTCCTTGAATTGAAATTGTGCTTATACTCAACTTAACTAACTTGTATATGTTACAATATGTGCAGTTTCCGAAGAATAATTGCGAAGTTTGTTCTTCTGGCAATAATCACATTGGCGATAGTATATATCCAGCTAGAGCCCATCATCCGTATCGATTTCTTTAGCCTTGAGCTGATTTTGTCTATATGCTTTATTGTTTGTTGGCACTCTCGCCCCCTTTTTTTGAAGTGTGCCCATGAGCTCTTGGCTCGGTGAATGTTGTCACAATTTCAATACAGCAAATAATGCACATTAAGCACAAAAAATAACAAATTAGAGAGAAATGTCATCATTGTCGCATGTTGTCGTCAGTCTATAAGTAGAACCATCGCCATACATTTTATGCGGTAAATAAGTGAAAAAAAGACGTTTCACAAACAACACGTCTATCACAAAACAATCGAATCGGCTTTGGTTTGTTGTTGTTGTGCACATTTTTTTATGCATTATCTTGTGTTCAAGTGACGATACGGATTTAATGCTATTTTATTGAGGTTAAATAATTTTCTATCAAATACTCAATGGAGCATTTTGGCATTGCTATAATGAATTGCAATTGAGCTATTTTAAAATGGTAAATGCTTGAGCTGCTAAATAGATAAAAGAACCGTGCTACTCATGTGTACATTTCAATTACCTTGAATTTACTCTTTTTCCTGCTGCGACCGTCATCCGTTAATTTCAACAATTTTGGCCGCATCGGACGCTTCTGATCTTTCAGCTCAAATTGGTGGTAATCAGTTTCTGATGTCATGTTGATATAATGGTTGATTATGTTGAACAAAAAATAGTATATTTTTTCTTCGTTGTATACGTTTTCGTCTTTCAACTTCGATTGGATTAGAGTGCTTTTGTAAGCCACCGCGTTATTATTATGGGCTATTCATATATAATTCGCTTTGATCATAAGAATCAGCTTAAATCCGCAAATACTTATTCAACGTCGCAGTCTGGCTAAAAAAAAAATGAAAATCGTGAAGAAGAAAACCAACCGAAAAACCGATTATTTCTATTATTCCAGCTCAATTCGTTCTATAAATATGGCGATACGGATTGAGAAAAATCACACATTCCATTCTTATTCCTTCGACGAATGGATTTTTGCCGTTATTCGTTTATCGTAAATGCGAACAAAACAAAAATGTATGCAAAATCATTTTAAGGATTTGATAATACATTGAGCAAGTATTTGGTTGTGAACACAAAAAAAAAAGAAAATATTCTAAATATTTTGATACAATGAAACCTTTGAATCGCTTTTAAATCCGTTTGTTCACTGATGCCAATATTGCGCACAAAAATTGTTGCGAACAAAAAAGTATCAATTGTTTGTTTTGTTTTGTGTTGTTGCGTTTTTCACTCATTTTACAAAAAATGTCATATCGGACTCAGGACGAATGGCATGAATGTAACAAAAAAGAAATCATTAAAAAATACCGTGCTACACTAAATGAGAGACGTGCAGTTAAAATGCAGACAATTAGAAAATGCCGCAATCTGTATTCACTGTGCCGTTATCGAGCGTTAAGCAAAAACAAAAAGCGCGTTATCTGTGTGTTTGTTGTGAAAATGTACTCCATAAAGTACGTTTAATACATGCATCGCTAACGCGATGTGATGTTTACTGGAATGTCAAAAGGCATTTTTGTTGACGCATCTCAGACTATAAATTGCGATTAAATATGTTGGATGGTATGCCATGAGGAAACATTTTCATTTCCACGTATTTTGACAACAACAACAAAAAAACGTCCATGGAACTGCCACAATAACTTAATTTGAGCTGCTGTTGCAAATGAAAAATGGGCAGAAAGAAAAAAAAATCGGAAAACATTAGAAATGGATGAACGTGACGAATTATTCCAGTATATACGAAATTCTTAGGCACTTTTATCTCACACAAAAGCCTCGTCAATTCAATTCAAATTCAATTTTGCAACAATATAGTTTCATAAATATTGGGCAAAGTGCTTTAATCAATTCTTGAATACGATTCAATCATTTATTTATTGCTCTCTCTCACATTTCTTTCTTCCTTATTTCGTTCATTTATGTGGAAATTTGTTTGATATTCAATCATTTGTGTTATACATTTTGGCACACTCAAACTGATTTATTTAATGAATCAATGAATGACCTTCGTTAGATCACTGTTGTACGATTGCCAAAAGCCAAGTCAATGCAATTTATTCTTGCAACTCTGGTAAAATATTGCCAACAAAAATTATTGATTTGAATTTATGTGTGGGTGTAAAAAAAAGCAGCAGAGAATTGAAATGATATTGTTTTCAAACGAAAAGAAGCTTACCTTTTTTTTCATTGAAATTGGCAACGACATCATTGAGCCAGACAAATTCGAACAAAAAAAAAATATGTTTACATCTAAACCAAAAAACAATCACCGTTAATAATAATTGATTGATTGCAGAAGGATCAAAACAATTACTCGTCAAACTGTATAAACTGACATTGTGGACCGATATCCCTGTAAATCACCCTTGGATTTGATTCATATCATATTTTGCACGGGCTTATGATTTCACTCGCTTCTTCCAACTTGATTAAGTTCACAGTTATCTCCGTTTATTTCTCTGTCACACAGTGTCTCTATCTCCGCGTCACTCCGTCCCTCACTTTCTTGCCAAATGTGATTTTATGGTATACGCTTTTCTTTTTTACAGCACTAATAATAGCTCAACAATTGACAAACATTTGGAAAATTTTCTACACACTTAATTCGATTATTTTGGCTGTGATTTTTGTGTCTTGTTTGTTGACTTGTTGGCACATTTTCCACTGGAATTTTCATTGTCGCTAAAAAAAAATGTCTCGCTATTCGTCGCAATTTAATGTTTGCACAGTGAAATGGCACGTATTTGCCACATATTATCAAATGAGCACGCAAATTGCAATATTATGGCATGTACCCCATTCCTTTCACGTTATACAATGTTCATTGGTTGTAAATGTGTGTGGGTGCCAAACAGCCAGCCAATTTGTGTGTTTCGTGTACATTGCGTTATAACAAAAAATCTCGTATGTTCATTCTTTTATTTGTTATTGAATGCAAACATGTCACATAAAATGCGCGCACATAATCGTGTTCACACCGAAAATGAAATTATAATTGCAACCGAAAAAATTGAACGGAAGGACATGAACAACACAAATGATGCGAAAAAAAACCGATTAAGCCATATTCAAATCAATAACCACGTACATGAAATGAACACGATGGTAAATTAATGCGACGAGCAGAAGTACAACGTAAGTCAAAAGTTTTTTTTATTTGTCGTAACATTACTTTCGGAGCTGGTATCATGTCATTGCAATTCAACACCCCTCCAAAAAAAAAGATGCAATAAAATTATTGTTTCGTATTTACGGAATCAATCAATCGACAATATGATCAAATACGTCACAAAAATACTGAAATGTACTGAAACATTCTTGAGCACAATTGTAGACTGTTTTCGTTTTCTTATCGTTGTACAGTACAAAATGAATCGAGCATATTCCCAGGAGAAACCATTTTTGACAAGTCAATGTGTGTAAACCAATTTTTTTTTATCTCGTTGTACGGTGTGTGATTGAATGTGTGTGCTGGCGTCTTTTCAATCTAAATAGCATCAAACACGTCAATTCATTCTTCGTGCAGATACGATACAAGCGATGAAAAATAGTACAAACAACATCACAAAAAGCACCGCAACACCACCCTTTCAAAATGAATCCTCCTTTATGTTATAAATTTTTCATTTTTTAAACTAATTTTCAAGTATTTTTACACGATTTTTTTTAACACTTTTCACTCTGCGCCTTGTACTCGGTACACAAAAGAAATTGTGTTGATGCTGAAGAAATTTATTGGTTTGTTTCTGTTTTTTTTTGCTCTTTGGCTTCGTTGGTTCTCCCAATCAAAGATCTACATATGTCGGTACAAATGACACTGACTATAGGCAAATAGATAGAGAATGTGTCAATACAACACGACCACACAATGAAACAAAAGAATGTAAACGATTGAGAGAGAGAAAAGCACTATACGAATGTAGAAACACGGAAGACAAAATTGAGAATCACAAACGCTTCCACACCACATACAACTGAAAAAAAATAAATCTCTATTTAGGCTGAGGCGCGAGATGAGTTTTCAACAACACACAGAATTACAATACACACAAGCATGTATACAAACGTTCAATCACACCACTACCAACAACAAATTCATACAGCGCACACGCACACAGCGGCATATTCGGAACGAGAGCAAGAGCATACCAATGATTATGGTGGATTCAATGAACATGGCATTACTAACCAAATCGTGCAGGATGGTTGCTAGCACAACAGAGAGAGCATAGCCATTCGGTGAGAGAATTTTCGCATGTTCCGTAATTCGTGGTGCGTCGTCTTGTTTTCAATGTATGCATTCCGTGAATGTGTACTGTTTTTCTTTTTTTTTCATGAACAGGAGAATTTTCATCTCTGTGGATCTGTTTTCCACATTTTCATTCCACGCTATATGTCTAGTCAATGTTATTGTGAACGAACAAACCGAATGATGCTCATGCATTTGCCAAAAATGTTCACATAAACAGCATAACAGTACGAATATACATAAAACATTGTAAGCATCATTGTTGACGTTTAACATCAATTTGGACGCCGACTGAAAGCTTAGTAAAAGCTTTCGAATGTAGAAAGTTTATATTTTCAGCAGCAAAAAAGCTTACAATGTACCAGCCACTGGAATTGCTGAATTATTATAGCAAAGCACAAGGACGAAAATAAAGAAAAACTGTCTCTAAGCATAAGCAGCTTACCGTTAGTAAAAGAAAGCTTTTAATCAAAATAACATGCATACAATTATTTTGGTCAACTCTGAAATATAAGCCGATCAAGGGAAAATCAAATGTAATTGAAACTGTTCATTGTTTTGTTGCTATACACACAAATTTTTATTAACTTGAATATGAATTAACAACATATTTATACATAAAAAGATTTTTTTCAAATTAATACCACGTCCTTTTTTGTGATTACTAGTTCCCTACTAACTCGATTAAATATAGTTTTTGTTTTTGTTTTGTGTTACTGAGATTATCAACATATGCTGAATATTGTACTAAATTGTTTACATTTTTTTAGAGAATGTCGAATGAAAGTGATAAAAAGAAAATGAAAAATAAAAAACACAAAAAAAGGTCTTTTGCTATTAAAAATCACATAGTTTTTTTTTTGCTTGTGAATTCCATGTACGAATAAAAACGATTAAATTTATAATTTTAGTCTTATCAAGAGAGGTGAATTGCTTTGTACGCTATTCGATATTGCAATCAGCGTGTAAATTCTCTTTCGAGTTGAACTGCCAATTTCTTTTATCGATCATGTGTATTTTATATTACATAAATTGAAATTCATATTGCTCACAAAATTGAAATCGTGTCATATTTTGGTTGTAAAGAGTTTTTTTCTTCTTCTTTATATTTGATTGTTAAATTTGTGCACACATTGCTGAATCGAAATACTAATAAAGGTGAAAAATTGAAAATTACATTCTATTGTGTGAATTGTGTGGTTGTGCCAACTTGTGCATTCATTCATTTAGTTTTGGTGAAATGTTCAAATTGTGGAAAAAAAAGGTTCTAATAAAGTTTCTGATATAATGTGCACTGAACACTCGAGAAAATTTCCAACAGCATCACTGCTGCTAAGCCGATTTTCTGTATACGCGCATGCGTGTGTCTGTGTGTAGGTCATGTAACTCTATCTATATCATAGCAAAACGTGAATAACTTTTACTAACAAACAAATTTTAATTAACCAAAATTGTGTTTATTATATTCACACATACAAACGCACATCCTATTTTTTTGTTGTGTCATTTGGCATAAGAAAAAAAAATTCAACTCCAAAGTGTGGCTGACATTATTTACTTTATAGTATACCCGATCTAGCCAATTAATGCAACGATTTTGAAGAATGAGTCGAGAAAAAATGATGGATTTTAGCGGAGAAAATGAAAACAAAAATGCAAACAATGTACATTTTTGTTGTTTTAGTTCATTATTTATGGTTTTTGTCGAATATGCGATGACATTCACAAAACAAAACAAAAAATTCTGGCCGTTGTACCATCGACTTTATGTATGTTGTTTTCATCTTTTTCATATTGTTGTTGTTTCATAAATTGTCTAATATGATTTTGTTTAACTGTTTTGATAAAATCACAGCTCTAAGAAACCTTTTTTAACATAATTTCCACATAAAAATATAAATAAAAATGAAAAAGCCTAATGAAACTCTTGATGATCGGTCATAGCAAATGCTACAGTTTTTTTCCTCTGTTGTTTTGTTTTCATTCCACAAACACTAGAAAATCGATATATTCGGCAATGGAATTCCTGAACGATTCTATATATTTCAATGCAATTGAACGCAACAAAAATTATTGTTGAATATCTCTCATAATCCGATTTTTTATTGCAAATTTTCTTTTCCATTTTACCCCTAAACTTCATTCATTTTGAACATTTTGAACATTCATTTCATGAATTTTATGTTTTCCATCATTACAATTCAATATCATTTATTGAACTATTCCGTCTAAGTAGACGGTAAACTTTCGGTTTGTTTTGTACAGCAACATTGCATCTTATTATATCTAAAGTTTATACCTTGTGTGTGTGTTTGGTTTTTTTTTACTTTCAATTTGGTTTGCTAATAAACGTGTATATTTGTTTATTAAGATATCAGTGAGAAGCTCTAGTCATATGATTGCCATGCATCCTTTTAAATAATTTGTTCGAAAACAAAATGAATTTGACAAAAAGCTGGCAGATATATCGTATTGAACTCGGTGGTTTTGATTTAACAAAAAATAAAAAAGGTTTATGCGTGTCTATGTGTGTGTGAGAGAGAGTGTGACAAACCAATAAAGTTCAATAAAATCAATGAAGACAGAATATATTTTATCTTAAGCTGAAACAAATTGAAGCAACTACATATCAAAAAGTTTGTTCTATTGCTAAATCTAGTGTGTTGTTTACTGTATTTATAAGGGATATATTGTTTTTGTTGGAAAGTTTGTTAAATATGCAATAATAATTAAGCTATAATTCAATCTCAAATGTCACTTTAAAAATAAATGGCGAACGATTTATTTTTAAATGCAAAAGTAATTTCTTTCAAATGCCATAAGTACAGATGGTTCAACAATTGTTTGATCTCATCGAAATGAATTTATTCCAACAAATTGTCATTTGCAATATGGCATCGAATAAATCGATCGGCGGAAAATTAATTACATGAATGCATATAAAGATGCTTTTCGTTTGCTTTGCAATCGATCAGTTTTTTATTTATTCAATTCTTAATTTCAGTGTATTTCAATTCGACTGGTTTTTTTTTTTCATTTTTGTTTATCTGTTAATCATAACGCGTGTTCATTAAGAATGTGCAACATTAAAGTTATCCTGTACTTGGCAGAAAATGTGTTAATTTAATAAAGACACGGACATTTATTTAAACGTTAAAAATGATTAGAATTAAGTTTCATTTGCATTGTAAATTCGGATTAGTTGATTAGTTAAAGATTTGGCATAAATGTGTTAGCTTATCTAAAGAATAATTCAGGAAGCATAAATTTACCTTGACTTTGTATACACGGCTTGATTATGTTATTGTGAAATATATATCTTCCTGTATGAAAAACAAAACAACAACAAAACAAACGCAAAATTGTGCAACGTAAAAGAACTGAAGAACATCTCTGTAAAATAAAATCAAATGAGAAATGGAGGCGAATAAGAATGGGGTAAAAGTAGAAAGCATAGCTTCTGAAGTTACGGCATTTTTTTTTTACATATACAAAAGACTTTTATTGAAAAGAAAAAGTATCAATACATTTTTTATGGTGTTAGACTCTACGGCCCTTTCAGGTAGTGCCCAGTGCAGTTGGAGATATCCACTCCTACAGGGGTCGTCAAATTACTAAAAACGTTAAGTTTTTTTCCCAGTTTTTTTTTGTCCGATTTTGAAATAAATTCAAAATTGGTTGAATGGGTCCAAGGGGCGTTCTTCTTTTCCCCATAGTAGTGGACGTTTTTTGTTGTGAACCATTTTTTTCGATGCAATGTTTTTCAAATTGAGTTTTTTTGGGGGGGAGGGGTGAATATCTCCAACTCCATAGATACTATGGTTCTGAAAGGGACTTCACCGGCATACGTCCTAAAGGGAAAAATCACTTTTTTGGCGAAAATCCCTAGCAAATCGGAAGAATTTCTCGCGAACAACCCTAGAAATTTCAAAAAATTTCCTTCCATTTCTTAAGTTGTTGAGCAAAGAAAAGGTCTTCACTTTTTTGCCCAAAATTCCTAGCAAATTGAAAGAATTCTTTGAAATTTTTTAAGGGGCAACACTTCGTCAGGGTAATCGGACCTCTCGGACCGCTGCTGAGGACGTATGCTTCACCGTATAGTCTGACACCATAAAAAAATGTTTTGTTCCTTTCATTTTTCATGAAAAATCTCTCGTAAATCTAAAAATTTACCTTCAAAAACAATGGTAGAAAGAGAGAAAGTGACAAGAGATCAAAAAAATCATAAGCTTACACCATGAATTATCTCGACCGATAAAATGATTCAGAACAAAAAAATAGAATAACAAAAACCAGAGAGAAAATAAATTAAAAACCAATTTATTTAAAAATAATAACAAAATAATGTTACATTGAATAATATATTGATTCGAAAACAATTATTTCCATTTGCTACAAGTATTTTCCGATCACTCCACTTCTTTTTTGTTTTGCTTTTGTTTGTTTGTCGTTTGCTTGCATATATGAATTCTCCATTCACTTTTTCCTCCTAAATTTCCAGTTTCCTCTTCGGTTCACTTATTATGCAATTTTTTTGTTTATTTTCTGTGATTTCTACATCAACACTAAAAGCATCGAGAATAAAATTTGGCTTATTGATTGTATATAATGATGTAGTAGAGTTCATTTCTATTTAGGATTTCTTTTCTATTCTATTCGCTTTTCTT